CGGGGGAACGAACTTGTGCGGGGTAGCCCGTCGGACTCTGGAGTTTTGTTGTGGTTGGGGGGGTCATGGGCCCCTCCCCTGTCGCCGCGGCTGGATGCATTTGGGAAAACGATTGCGACTAGATTCCGGGAAGGGTCTGGGGGGCCCATGGTGAACGATTTCTGTGTGTGGGGAAAAGGAAAAATGTTGCTGCAGACTTGCAGAGTCTTAGTCTTTACTGTTTTTTTTGTGTGTGTGTGTGTGTTGTGTGTTGTGTGTGTGGTGTGTGTTCTGTGTGTTGTGTGTGTGTGGTTTTCGTCGTCGAAGGGCCGCCTCCAGGTCTCGGGGTCGTTCGGGGGCATTGTGGATCCCCGTCAAGGCCTCTTGGGTACATTTAGGCGTTAGGCGCCCTTGCATGTTTTCTTGGGGCGAAGTGCTCGCATTCTCCAGTCGGGTTTCCGTTTTTACCCTCTGGGGGCCGTCTTGGGGCTCTCCCTGGTGGCTTCGGGGGCCCTGTTGGGGCCCGTCTGTGCCGCCGGGGGGCCTATTTGGGGGCACGCAGGGCTTTTGGGGATGAATTTTTGTTTTTTTTGTTGGGTTGCTGTGGGGCTCGTGCAATCTCAAGAAGCGTTAAGCTCAGGCTGCTCCCTTCGGGAAGGGGCCGAGGTTCGGTTCTGCCTGCCTGGCCTCTTGGGGCGCGCCCTGGTGGCGCGTTGGGGCGTCCAGGGGGCCTCAGAGGGCAGCTGGAGGCAGTGGCGGGCGTCTGGCTGGGTAGTCGAAGGCCAGACTGTCAGACTGGATTGGGCCCCAAGGGCCAATCTGGCCTGGCCATATTGGCGGATTTGGGTTATTCGCCAGACTGGATTCGCGTTGGCTCCCCCGCCAGATTGCCCCCGTTTGCCAGATTGGGCCTGCCAGATTGGCGCCAGATTGGCTTCGACTACCCAGTCAGGGGTCAGCTGGAGGCAGTGGCGGGCGTCTGGGACCGACCTCCTCACGAGTCGTAGCTCGCGCTCCGGAGCCGTCGGGGGGGCTTTGTGGGACCCATTTGGGGACTTTGGGGGGGCCGTCCTGGGGCCGTCCTGGGTCGGTTCGGTGTCATCTGCGGCCTCTTGGCGGCCATGTGGAGTTTTTGCTGGGTGTTTTTTGGGGTCGTATTGGGTTGATCCGGAAGGCGTCTTGTGCTGTTGTGGGCCTCGTGAGAGCCGAAATCACGAACGTGCTGGAAATGCATGTTGTCCATAGGAAATGAAAGCTGTTTGCTTCTCGCAAGCCTCTTGGGACGTCTCCGGGCGGTTTTTTGGGCCGTCTTGGGGGCCTGTAGGACCGCCGGGGGGAACTCTGGAGCGTCTTGGAGCGATCTCCCGACGACTCGTAGCCCTCGTGGGCCGTCCAGGAGACCTTTGGGGACCCTCTTGGCCCATTGTGGGGCCTTATTGAGGCCGTCCTGCAGCTCTCCTGGGCCGTTGCGGTTGTTTCTGGGGCCTTCGCGGGGCCTTCGCTGGCCGTCTTGGAGCCTTTTTGGGGGTCTCTCGGGTTATTTGGGGTCGCTCTTGGAGACTTTTTGGGCCGTTGTGGGTCTCGTGAAAGGCGAAGAGGCGAGTGTGTTTCAAACATATGTTTGGTCCGTAGGGAATGGGACGAATTTTGTTCCTGGAGGGCGTCTTGGTGTTTTCTTGGGACGTCTTGGGGGCTTTTGGGGCTGTCTGGAGCAATCCTCGACGCTGTGGAATCGTCGACTCGTAGCTTTCTTGGACCGTTCCAGGAGCCCTTTGGACTTTGTTGGTTCGTTTTCGGGTCCCTTAAGGATCTAAGTGTGCGGCCGGCACCTTTACCCCCCACCCCACCCCTCCAAACCAGCCGACCGGGCTCCCGGGGGAGGCGTTTGGGGAGCGGTAAGCATTTCACACGCCGTGGCCCCAGGGGGTCGGCGGACCCCAGGACCCGAGTCCAAGCGCAACCGCCTGGTGTGAACAACGCTGCAACGCTTGGAGCTCGGGGAGGGGGCAGGAGGAGGACGAAGGCATGGACGCAATCGTGTCCGCAGCTTCAAGGTTGCGAGGAGGAGAAGTAGGAGGAAGGGGGAGGAGGAAAAATACTTATATTTCAAAGGGTGGTCTGTGCATGGCGCCCATTGAGGACCCGTCAGGGTCTTCGTCTTGTCAGGTTTTTCGTGGTTTTCGTCGTCGAAGTGCCGCCTCCGGGTCCCGGAGTCTCTCGGGGGCATCGTGGAGCCCCGTAGGGGCCTCTTGGGTGCCTTGTTTGGTGAAGTGCTCGAATTCTCCATTCGGGTTTCCCCTCGGACCCGTTTCGTGGGGCCGTCCTGGGGCCTTCCTTGGTGGATTCGGGGGCCCTCGTGGGGCCCTTCAGGGCCGTCTGGGAGCCTTTTTGGAAGCATATGGGGTTTCCTTGGGTTGATTCTGGAGGCTTCTTGGGCTGCTGTGAGCCGCGTGACAGCCCAAGCTACGAAAGTGCTAAACTTGGGCGCTTCCTTTAGGGAGCGGGCCGAGGTTTTCTTGTGGGAGCCTCTTGGGACGCGTCCTGGTAGCGTGTCGGGGCGTGCAGGGGGCTTCCGGGGCCGTCCGGAGGCAATGTCGGCCGTCTCGGAGTGGTCTCTTCACGAGTGGTGGCCCTCTGGGGCCGTCGGGGGAGCCCCTTGGGGCCGTCCTGGGGCCCTCGGTGGCTGCGGGGGTCCTCTTGGGGACCTTTTGGGCCGTCTGGGAGCACTCTTCAAGGGCTCCCGCGAGGGCGCGAAGTTATTCGCGCTTCGCGCTTCGCGGTCCTCGATCCTTCTCCCCCCTCCTCCTCGTCCTCCTATTCTCCCTTTGGGAGGGCGGCGCGAGAGCGCGAAGTTATTCGCGCTTCGCGCTTCGCGGAGCGCGAAGCGCGAAGTTGGGAGCCCTAGTTTTGGGCCGTCTGGGAGCACTCTGGGAGGTATTTGGGTTTCCTTGAATTGATCTGGGGGTTGCTTGGCTTGCTGCGGGCCTCGTGGAAGGCCAGGAAGCGAATGTGCCAAACTTGGACGCTTCTCCTAGGGAACGGTCCGATGTTTGCTCGTGGAGGGCCTTTTCGGCCGCGTCCTGGTGGCGTGTTGGAGCGCGCAGGGGGTCTCAGGGGCCGCGTGAAAGGCTTAGAAGCGAACGTGTTGAAATATGTGCTTTCCATATAGAGAAAGGGACGGTTGTTGCTTCTGGAAGGTTTTCTGGGACGCCTCTGGGTAGCGTAGTGGGGCGTCTCGGGGGCCTGTAGGGCTGTCGGGAGGCAGTGTATGACGATTTGGGGCACTGTTGAGCGACTTGGGCCGACCAGGAGGCCTTCTAAGAACCCTCTTGGCCCGTTTTGGGGCCCTCCTGGGACCGTCCTGCGGTTCCCCAGGGCCGCTGCCATGGTTTCTGGAGCCTTCGTGGGGCGCCCGGAGGCCGTCTTGGAATCCTTTGGGGAAATTTCTGGGGCTGTAGGGGGTCGATGTTGGATGCTTCCTGGGCCGTTGTAGGCCGCGTGGAAGCCCAAGAGGCGAATGTGCTGAAAATGCATGTTTCCTATCGGGACTGGGACAATTTGTGCTTCTGGAGGCCTTCGTGGAGCGCCTCGCAGCTGTTATCAGCAAACGTCTCGGGGTCCTGTGAGGAATCGTCTGCATGCAAACTGGGGCGGTTTGGACCGTATCGTCCCCCTCGTGGGCCGTCCAAAAGGCCTTTGGGGACCCTCTTGGCCCGTTGTGGGGCTCTCGTGGGGCCGTCCTGCGATTGTCCTGGGCCGCGGCTGTGGTTTATGAGGCCTTCGTGGTGCGCCCTGAAGCCGTCGTGGAGCCTTTTTGAGAGCCTCTTGGGCTGCGTAGGGTCGATCTTGGAGGCTTCTTGGGCCGTTGTGGGCCGCGTGGAAGTCCAAAAGGCGATTGTGCTGAAATTATATATATGTATGTGTTTTCTTCAGGAGATGGGTTGGAGGGCCATCGTGGGGCGCCTCGTAGTACTTTCTTCAAGAGTCTTGGGGACTGATGGGGCCGTCTGAAGGTAATCCTCGGCGTTGTGGAACCATCCCTCGTCGACTCGTAGCTTTATTGGATCGTTCCGGGGCCCTTTTGGACCTTTTTGGTGCGTTTTGGAGCACCTTCAGGTTCCAAGTGTTCGGCCGGCACCTTTGCCCCCCCCCCCCCCTCCAAACAGGCCGGGCCGGGCCCCCGGGGGAGGGGTTTGGGGAGGGGGAAGCATCTCACACGCCGTGACCCCACGGGGTCGGTGGATTTGTTGGTTTGTGCAATGCGTCGCGTTGTGTTGCATCGATATGTGGTGTTACAGATGACATCCTATTGATTTTCAGCATTGTCTGAATTCGTCACTTTATATTGTGTGTAGTCTTCCTGTGGCAAAATCCTAAGAACAGGGTGCTACCCTAGTCGCTGCCGTTCCAGCTTCACCCGTGTTCAATACGATCTCCTTGTTTTGTTGGTGATGATTGCGGGGAAATTTCCCATACTGGTAGGCGTATTTAGCTACTCGGCCAAGTTTCCTCGGGACCAGTGTGTCTTTCTCAGAGATCATGCGGACAGGGTGGTTGGTTGGAAATTGGCGCTGGCTCACCAGGCAGCACCATCAGATGAGTGGACGTTCGCCAGTCGATCGGCGGTGGCGGCGGTGGAAGCGACCCAGACTCCCGACGTCACGATTTCATCATCTCCAGAGGTCTCGACCCAGTCGCCAGGACTGGTTCATCATATAAGGCTTGACCTAAACGCTGTTTTGCTGGACTTGGGCTGTGCTTTGTCCTTCGTTTGGCAAGGAGCTTCAGGACAACAGGTAGAGCAAAACGCAGCAAAACGAAACACAACGCTCAGGCCCAGCCCTGTCTTCACACTGCCTCAGTCGTCTCTTGACGGTCCGCGGCCCGGGGAGGGCCCCCAGCGGCCGAACATCGCGAAACACAAGACCCCCGCCCTGCTTTCTGCCATGCCTCCAGGGGCTCTGGCGGCGGCGGCGACGGCGAGGGCGGCGGCGGCGGCGGCCCGGCACCGCCCGCGGCAGCTGCCCTCCGGCGCCTTCGCGCTGCCCGGCCTGCTCCGCCGGGGCGCGGGGCCGCACGGCCCGTGCGAGGAGCTCCGCCGCCGTCGCTCTGGCCGCCGCGGCCGCCGCCGTCGTCTCTGCGTCGCGGCCGCAGTGGCCGTTGCCGTCGCCGTGGCCTCGCGGCCGCCGCCGCCGCCGCCGTCGGCAACTGCTTGGCTGCCGCCGGCGCGTCCGCATGGAGGGCTCGTGGGTTCGGGAGGGTTCGAGGGCTCGAGGTTGGAGGCTTTCGAGGACCTGCCTGCACGTTTTCGTGCATCCAGAGGCCTCCAGAGCGGGAGTTGCCGTCGTCGCCGCCGTCGTTCAGTTGCTCCTGGATTTGTGGCAGCTATTCGGAGGACGGCCTGGTGCTTCTGTATTGAAAATTCGATGTCACAACAGATCGTAAGCGGCCTCGATTGGTTCCAAAGGTTCCTGAAGTTTCTTCGACACACTGAGCGGGGTCTGGAGGACGAGGTAGTGGAGCAGGAGGAGGATGACCTCGCCCGGGAAGGGTAGACCCAGGACGGGGGAGGAGGAGGAGGAGGAGGAGGAGGAGGAGGAGGAAGATGAGGAGGAGGAGGAGGAGGAGGAAGAGGAGGAGGAGGAGGAGGAGGAGGAGGAGGCCAGATCAGCGCCAGCGAAGCGCAGGAGCACAGGAGCTGAAGTTGGGCACTTCCGTCCCTGTCCCGTGCCCCTCGTGCCCTTCTCCCCTCGCCTTCCCGTCAGCCTTGAGTGCGCGCGGCTTTTGAGCTCCCTCCAGGCACTCTCGGGTCTGCCTGTTCGGATGTTTGTGTGTGTATGTGTGTGAGTCCTCGGTGGTATGTATGTATGTATGCATGCATGCATGCATGCATGCATGTATGTATGTATGTATGTGTGTATGTATGTAGGTAGGTAAGTAGGTAGGTTGGTCGGTAGGTAGGTAGGTAGGTAGGTAAGTGTGCGTGCGTGCATGCATGCATGCATGTAGGTAGGTAGGTAGGTAGGTGGGTGGGTGGGTGGGTGGGTAGGTAGGTAGATAGGTAGGAAGGTGTGTATGTATGTATGTAGATGTGTGTATGTATGTATGTGTGTGTGTATGTATGTATGCATGCATGCATGTATGTATGTATGCATGTATGGATGTATGTGTGTATGTATGTGTGTATGTGCATGTAAGTATGTATGTATGAATGTGCGCACGTACGTATGCATGCCTGTATGTATGTATGCATGCAGATGTGTATGAATGTATGCATACGAGCATACATGTATGTATGTGTGTATGTATGTATGCATGCATGCATGTATGGATGTACGTATGTGTGTATGTATGTATGTGTGTATGTATGCATGCATGCATGCATGCATGCATGCATGTATGTATGTATGTATACATGTATGCATGTATGTATGTATGTCTGTACGTATGGATGTATGTGTATGAATGTATGTATGTATGGGTATGTATGTGTGTTTGCTTGTATGTATTTATGTGGGTAGGTAGGTAGGTAGGTATGTATGTATGTATGTATGTATGTATGTGTGTGTGTATGCATGTATGGATGGTATGTGATGTCGCTGTGTGTACGTGTGTATGTATGTATGGACGTATGCATGCATGTATGCATGCATACATGTATGTATGTATGTATGCATGTTTGCATGCATGTATGTATGTATGTATGTATGTCTGCCTGTCTGTATGTATGTATGCATGTATGTATGTATGTATGTATATATATATGAAAGAGCGTGTTCTACCGCTGCTGGCGGAAAACCGGGGGGGGGTCACTACCGGTTCGAACCCCTCCCCCCCCCCCCGGAAAAAGGGGGGGGTCACTACCGGTTCGAACCCCCCCCCCCCCCCCCCCCTCTCATCATGAAAAGGGGGGGGGGGTCACTACCGGTTCGAACCCCCTCCCCCCCCCTCGAAAACCGAGTGGGGGTGCGGACAGTGGTGGGGACGGTACACAGTGGTGAGGGGACAGCGGGACAGTGGTGGGGACAGTGGGGGGACAGTGGGACAGTGGTGGGGACGGTAGTGGTGGGGACAGTGGTGAGGGGATAGCGGGACAGTGGTGGGGACAGTGGGACAGTGGGACAGCGGTGGGGACGGTAGTGGTGGGGACAGTGGTGGGGACAATGGTGGGAACAGGGGGGGACAGTGGACAGTGGTGGTGACGGTGGTGGTGGGGACAGTGGTGTGGGGACAATGGGAACGAGGTGGAAACAGTGGGACAGTGGAGGGTACAATGGTGGTGGGGACAGTGGTGAAAGCGGTGGCGAGGACGGCGGTGGGACAATGGGACAGAGGTACAGTGGGGACAGTGGTGGGGACAGTGGGGACAGTGGTGGGAACAGTGGGACAGCTCAGTGGGACAGCGGAGGAGTCAGTGGGACAGTGGGGACAGTGGGGATAGTCGGGCAGTGGTTGGGGCCGTGGAGACAGTGGGGAGAGTGGAACCGTGGTGGGAACAGTTCTGGGGACAGCGGGGACAGTGCGACAGTGGTGGGGCCACTGGTGGGGACAGTAGGGGCGGTGGTGGAACCAGTGGGGACAGCGGTGGTGAGGACAGTGGTGCTGGGAACACCAGTGGGGGATGTGATGCGGACGGTGGTGGGGACCGGGAGTCGTTTGCTGGCGGTGAGTAGGGGGGGGGGGGGGGGGGGGGGGGGGGGGGGGGGTTCGAACCGGCAGTGACCCCCCCCGGTTTTCCGGATCCGGAGGGGGGGGGGGGGGGGGCGGAGGGGTTCGAACCGGGTAGTGACCCCCCCCGGTTTTCGAGCGGGAGGGGGGGGGGGGGGGGGTTAGGGGAGGGGGGGGGTTTTGCCGGGGGAGAGGGGGGGGGGAGGGGTTCGGGGGGGGGGGGGGGGGGGGGGGGGGGGATTTTCGGAGGGGGGGGGGAGACCCCGGGTTCCGGAGGAAAAGGTTGGCAATTTTCCACAGTAAAGCGGCGGTGGATCACGCTCTCTCATATATATAGATGTATGTATGTTTGTATGTGTGTGTGTGTGTGTGTGTGTGTGTGTGTGTGTGTGTGTGTGTCCACGGTAGTTGCCGCGACGCCGCGGCCGCTCCTTGCGGCGTGTTTTACGTCGCCGAGCGCGCAGGACACGACGGTTCTGGCAGCCAGCGAGACGACAACATAATCGGTGGCTGAGCATGAAGGTATGGGGTCTGGGACGAGGAGAAGGCGGAGGAGGAGGAGGAGGAGGCGGAGTTGGAGGAGGAGGAGATGGCGGGGCAGAAGGGGTTGGGGCTAGGGAGGGGGACGATGAGGACCAACGGCAGGAGAGCCTATGAGCACCCTGCTATGTTGAAGCCCCTGCGGGCGCCGCAATGCTTGACTGTGGTTCACTGAGGGGGAGGCGGGTGCTTAATTCGAGGAGCAGCAGTCGCGGCATGACCCGAGGAAGGTCGGCCTCAGCGTGGGGTGACCTCCCCTCCTCCAGGAGGCCTCGGATGGGGAGGTCACCGTCGCAGCAGGGGGCAGGAGCGGGGGGAGTAGCGCAGGGGGGCCTGGAGCTTAGCGGGCCCTGGACACGGCAGGGCCGATTTTTCCACCGTTGCCGAAAAAGCGTCCCTTAAACATGGAAACGGCAACAAAAAAACACGGCGACCGGAAACGGCAACAAAAACGGCTCCAGGACTGGAACCGGCGCCGGAACCAGTCAAACAACGGCGAAGGAACTGCGGCGTCGGAACCGGCAAAAAAACGGCCTTGTCGTTTCCTTGGCCCACAGGGGCAGCCTTCCCAAGGGTAGCCTTGCACCCTTGCTTCCCAGGTCCTTCCTTAAACCCCATTCGATTGCCAGCGCCGTTCGAAGAGCTTCGACATGGCCGTCCAAGGGGCTTGCACCCTTACCGCGCATCCTTACTATCCATTCGGACTGCAGCGCGCAGCAGTTGCGGGGGCCCAGAGGAGTGGTGGCAGCAGTGGTGGGGCCCCCTCCCTCTCCCGCTCCTCCCCCGCGGGTGAAGGGGGGCGGTAGGGAACGAGAGTCGTCCGTGCCACCCCCGGTGCGCGTAGCGCGAACGTGGGGCGATGCAGGTCGGCATGATCGGTACCGTCGCCATCGCTGGCGTTGGGAAGATGGACATTGCAGTCAAGATGCTGAATTAAGGACCGTCTTGGGCTCAGGACGGGCTCGGATTTTCGGGCCTGCTTCGATTTTTGTGCTGCAACTTGTTTGTGTCCCAGGCCCGCCGCGGCCAGAAAAAATGACCCTCTGTTCCCGATGAAGCGGTCCGAATGGTAGCACAATGCCTCTACGACTGGCACGAGTGTGAAACACTGCCCTGGCTCGGGAGGGGCGCCCTCGTGCTCCGCGGCCCCTGGGCACCTCCGCCCCAGACTCCGATGGTCCATGGTCCACGGGGCCTTGGCCTTTCGGCGAGCAAGGGGCTCCCGTCTTCGCCGCCATGCTCCGACTGTGCTGTGCACGCCGCCGCTGGGCCGCTGGGCCGCGAGACGGCAGGATCGCTCCACTCCCATCGTTCCCCTCCTCCTCCTCCCCCTCCTCCTCCTCCTCCTCCTCCTCTTTTTCCTCGGCGCAGGCTCCTCACAACCCATTCAACGAGCGACTTGTGAGCAATGGATTCAATAGGGATTGGCGGCTCAGAGAGGATAGTGTACACCATCGACTGTAAAAGGAGTCAGCCCAGCAAGATGGCGCGCCTCTCATCATTGCCTAAAGGTATCCCCACCACTCCTGGCTCGGACGAATAGGCCAAGGAGTGCAGATCCTGGTCTTCTTCGGCCACGGAAGAAAACCACGCCGAAGCACACTGAGCTGCTTAGGCTTTTCAACAAGGCAATCAGACTGTAACTGTTGGGACGCAACACTGCCAGAAGTGTAGGACCCACATCGATTGCAGAAAAGGACGGGCGTCTGGTGCACAACAGTGCGCGAAACCATCCAAACGTGATCTCTCTGACGCTTAATTCGAAGTAAAGTCTGCATGGAAGAAGCGAGAGCACCGCACACACCTTTGGCTTTGGACGAGTCACAGAAGCACTTTTGCACACTGGGCACATCTCCATATGCGCCCATCCCACTTAAGGTCATG